CACAGCCCTCTGTGTGGAGCAGAGCTGCCATCTAGGGTGCCCAGGGGTTAAGGGCCTTGCTCAAGGGCCCAGAGTGGGGTAAATGAGGGTGGAGACAGGTGTGGGTGTTTCACCATCCCACCCACATTTTGATGTTGTCGGTACGGGGAGTTGAACCAGCTACCTTCCGATCGCAGGCCCACCTTCTCTAACCTCTGTGCAACCACTCCCCCTTTATATGACACTGTACAAATCACATGTCTGCCTTCAAAAATCTTATCTGTAATTCATTTAGAGCCAATATGCTACAGTCATAACAGGTATTTTTTCATGACCGTTCCTGGCATCTGGTTTGTAATTTCCTAAATAAGATGCCCCTGGACTTTTTTATACAGCTGTTTCTTAGCGTGTTGCTGCCAGCACGAACCGCTGAAACTTGTTTTAAACTTCTCTATGGAAAACCGCCTGCCACGATCTGTGAGTCACAGAACAGTTTGAAGTTCTGAGGAGACGAGATCTTAGACAGGTGGAGTTTTGGTGACCTGAGGCGTTTGGCTCAAGAGAGTAAAAGTTGAGTTAAACAATTTAGCAACTTGCCTTTGGTTAGGATATTGTATTTCATGGCCACCACAACTTGCTGTACTTAGAAAACACCAAAATGACTATAAACCAGACAACTTTACAGATATTGAGCTATAATTTGGAGTAGTAATAGCTGAGAGACATCCCTAACACATACTCCAAACTCTAACAGCTCACCCAATGTCTCACAATGATGTTCGTTGCAACATTAAACACGTTTATCTTTATACACAAAGGGTGACTTTAGTTTAAAACATGTGAAAAGCAGCAGAAACATGCTGTTCAGGGAATTCCCGATCTGTAATTGGTGTGCATTTTCTTCTAAAAACAAACACTGAAGAGAAGTGGATCTATAGTTTGAGCTGCCTAGTTGTGTGATCTTCACTCATAGGTGTATGTGAAGGGGATGTGGGGACGCACATTTAAAAAAATTTTCATTTGGACACCCCCCCACCCCAATACACACACACATTTACCATAAAACATCAGTTCATCCAGTGCTGTTTCTATTTCTTTGTGAATGAATCCATTCCACTTGATTAATAGGAGAACACTCAAACCACTAAAAATCCACTCCGGGTTTTCCTGGTTACCTCCAACAACGCCACACTGCGTGCAGTGTTTCTCCTCAGTCATTTGCCTTGGCAGGGAGCTCGCGGGGGGGAGGAGGGGGAGACACCTCTGTTTTGCGCTTTAGCCTTGGCGCCACGTTAGTGCTGGCAGTTGTTGACGAGGGTGGGGAGGTTAGGATGTATGGGAGAAGTGGAGCGCTACGTCTGTAGCATCTTAGCTAATGCGTCTGTATTGCACACTGCTAGCTTAGCACTACGTTAGTTCTGCAGTTTTTGGTGGTGGTGGTGGGGTGGGGGGGTGGGGGGGGGGGTGCGCTAGGATGCCTGAGAGAAGCGGAGCGTGCTCTATTCACACAAGAGCTGTTGGTCAGGCTACTTCTTGTTGTTGAATCAAGTGCTTACTAATGTACGTAAATGTAGATATTTAACAATCCATTAAAATACGCCAGAATGCAGGAAATGGCATCTACCGGTACTTTATTCAAAATTTTATGGGGCAGGACACCCCAGACGACCCCCCAACCCTCCACATTACAAATGCGTCTGACACCATTGTCTTCACTGCATCTCTTATTGTGAAGATGAGCTGAAAACAAAATGGGAAGAGGTTTATAAGTGTAAACTGTAAAACGTGTGGAATAACAAGGTCAAGGTTTCTTTGTTGTCATTTGCATCATATGTGGTACATGGGGTGGAATGAAATTGTGTACACAGGGTTCCAGTTACGTCTAACAAAAGTATAAATTGTAAAAGAAAAACAGTAATAAGATCTAATATATGAACTAAGAAATATGCTAAGCACTAATAGCTCACTACTACTAGCTCAGCACACAGACGGAGGGTATTTGTGCGTTTGTGGTTTGCATTGCTCTGAAAAATACAAAGAAATGAGGGACGACTCGAGACTTTTGCACAGTACTGTACAAGACCCAGTCTGTGTGAGTTTCACTGCGATGCCGGTCCCAGTTATACATCTATGATGAACTGAGATGGTCCCCATTCCAGAGCAGCTGACTGGAATGGAGAGAGGTCTGGATGGAAAGCAGATGGGTTCTCTGCGTGCCCACTCACCGTGATACCCCGACAGAGGCGTACACTATCCTCCTCCCACTCAAAACTCACACATCTCTCAGACAATAGTGACATCATTTTATGAGCTAAGCACCATCTGTCTAACCAACAGCCAAACAACATTTTGTTGTTGTTGTTTGTATTTCAGTCTGTTTTCACCCCATAAGATTGACTAGCACGTTCTGGTCTTGGCTGTTCTTTGTTGCTATGAATAGATGTGGTTCAAAATGGGTCAGTTTTTACTCTAAGCACTCATCTGTGCAGTGGGTTGCCAGGAGGCAAGTGTATGTAAGCATGCTGTCATCCAGTCACAGATTTGTCTCTGGAGATCTGCTCCAAACCAAATGGCTTTTCATTTGTACGTGGAAAACTGGAGCAGAAA